AAAAATCTAAAAAAAAAAAAAGAATTGACATTTCAATAACAATGATAGTAACACTTTTGGAACCAAGGACTGGTGGCCTATTATCAACTCGTTTGTGAAAGTTCAGAGGTCCCCTAAAGCTGAACTACCACCTCTTGTCAATGATGGCGTCCTACCCACTTCTCCGATTGATAAGGCCAATTGTTTAAATAATTTCTTTATTAAACAATCACAACTCGACACCATAAATGCACAACTTCCTGCTATCGATCGCACCGCGAGCTCATTCTGTCACATACGCTTAACTTTACAGGAAATTAAAGACATGATCCTAAGCATTAACTCCAACAAAGCCAGTAGCCACGATAACATCAGTGGTAAACTCCTGAAGTCAATATCCCTTGAAATATCCACTCCTCTCTGTACTCTCTTCAATCTCTATCTCTCAACCAAACGCGTCCCCTCTATCTGGAAATTTGTAAATATAACAGCATTTCCATAAAAAGACGACCCATCGATCTGTGGTAAATATAAACCATTTTCTCTGCTAAGTATCCTTATGAAAATATTTGAAAAATGTGTATACAAACATGTCTTTAATTTCCTGAAAAAAAACATTCACTGATCTCTTGCAAGCAAAGCGGCTTTCTGCACGGGCACTCCACTACACTTCTTTTGTCAAGCCATCGATCGTTTCTTAACGAAATAAAATATTGTTTACGAAAAAAAAGTAGTGCTCGATGGTGTTTCGCTGTAAACATGCAGCCGATCGACCAATACAATGAACGGGTACTATCGGGACCAAAATATTGCTTGATAATATGTATGGAGAGATTAGATTTCATCCAGGCGCCCTTTTCTATCTGATTGGCCGAGAAAACAGAATGGTTTAGAAGTTTTTTCTCACCGGGCTTGAACAAATTACAGGATAATCATAATATATCAGTGAAAACCTAGTTATAAATATTATAAAGTTTTGGTAAAGGACACATTCACACATTTCAATTTTTAATTTCCCTTAAGTTCAGAATCTAGGACAAGGATAGATGTCTAAATGTTTGCTTCCCAGCTGAAAGATCTCAAATACATATTGGTACAGTTCCCCTATCATTGATCAAAAAGCATCAAATAACAAGGCGATGGTCTAAATATCAGATATTATCTCATCATAATATTTAATGTTAATAAGAACTTGTCATCCGATTTTCATTTCTTAAAGTGATTAAGATAGCTGAAAGTGAACTTTAGCAGTTTGAAGAGCAATAGTAATCCCCTTCTTCAGTGGATCGAAATTTAATTTTTTCTATCAGAAAAAGCAACGTGTTACTGTGATGTAATTTATGGCATATGTATTTTATGTAAAAAATTTTTTAAAAAAGTGAAAGGAAAAGGGATATTTTATGATGAATATTAATATTAAAACTAGTATTTTATAGTTAGTATAACATCTCACATCTGGAGCTTCTTTACATCTTCAAAATTAGAAAAAGTGAAAATTTTTCAAAGCACTTTTATGTACGTAAGTGGTAAACATAAAACCAACACAAAATCAGTTTAAGCATATTCCAGATTTTTTTTAGGAATATTAAGACAGAACCAAAGAGAGTTCCACGCTAAGCGATCTTGTCATTTTTTTAGTCTGCTTCCCTACTGAAGTTGGACAAGTATAACTTTAATCATGGGTACACTTTGAGACGAGTTCCGAACGTTTGTTTACTAAATGATTCTATTTCCCTTTAATAAACTTAGCTTGCCGTCCAGCTTGTAAGCCATTCAACGAGTTACAAGAATCTTATAATTAAAAGATTCACAGACTACACGTGAGCATTTATTTGACTATTGAATAATTGTTATCCGCCTATTTAGCCGTCTTTTTATTTTGTTTGCAGAAAGATAACGTATAGCGAGTAAAGTATCAGATTCCAAATGAAAGGAAATGAGCAATCTTGGGTAATTCTGAGAAATTTAGAAATTGTTCTGACATATAGAGAGAGACAAAATGTAAATGTTAGCTTGGAAGCTTGCATACTTTAGACGATATGACGATGTCCGATTTTAGCCAAATTTGTCTTGGTCCCCAATGCTGAGCTTTAAGGTTATTTTATTTTACAGACATCTGACTCTAACCGGAAGTGGTGTAGTGGAAAACTCCATCATTTCAGAAATCACTTTTTGTGCAGACTGCCAACAGCTACTTTGATATCATGAGTTTTATTTGGGGGGTCTAAGAGCAAGTTGGGTTATTTGACAAAGTTGGGTGTTGGTCATATTTTCTCTATGACCAAAGGTGTGAAAAGATTATGAGAAAACTTGCTACACACTGAAAGGGGCCTTTTTCTTGTTTGTCATCCTTAGATGCCTAAAATACAGATTGATGATTCAAGCCCTCAGTCTCATTGATGAAATTTGGTGAAGGATAATTTATTCAGTGTATAGATGGAATTGAATCTCGAAAATTCATTTAATATTTAAAGTTGAGAAACGACTAAAAATCTTGTGTTGTTTCATGTAGTTATTTGTGGTAATATAAAACTTTTCGAATCCAGCTGAATCTTTCAAATAAAAAGTTGAAATGGTTGTCGCTAATGAAGATAAAATTGATATATACATTTGCTGTATTATACAATTATTCCTGAAGACCCGTTATTATGAACGACGTCCAACACAGTTTTACGAGCAGAATTATCATCTCAATCATCGTCAAAACCAACAACAGTTTCACCATAGACAACGGCATGACACCAATCCATCTGTGAAGATGTTGTTTCATATTATCCAATGCTTTCATCATGCTTCGATAATTTCAAAGCAAGTCAATGGTTCACCGACTCGTGTTTTTTTTGTATGTACTATTACTGATTTTAACCGGTTTGTAAAACCGGCTATCGAGGCGGTTAATAAAACCTGAGCAAAAATGTTGCCTTGGCACAGTAGTTATAATCTTTTCAGATAAATACGTGGAATGAAATGGAACGTTTTATGCCTATGTGCGTTCAATCTGAAAAGACCCATCTATTCCCATCATAATGTACACACATATATACCTTATATTTCACCATACAAAGTCCCATCATAATACACACCTATTATATCCCTTATATTTTTTCCATTACCTTCAAATTACACATTTTTAAAATGATTTATTTATATAAAAACCTTGTTTAAAAACAGGATGAGTTTTAAAACACGAACAACACAAATTCGAAGGAGATGGATTCTTCTCAGCTCTATCATCTCTCATCCCAAAAGTAGCCAACTTTGTCTCAAACAACAAATCCCTTATTTCTTCTGGATCTGTAGCAAGAGCAGGAGTAAATATAAGCGAAACAGTGAAAAGATCTAACGAGTTAAAAGAATTACAACATATAAGAGAAATGCGAAATAAAATATTAGAAAACAAAAAAAGGCAATGGTTTTAATATTATTGGATAAAATGTCAATAATAATTGCTCAAACTCCTAAAACTTATTTCGGTTCCGACATTCAAAAATCATTAGGTTCTCTTCCCAGATTTCCATGGGCAAAATACCCCGGAGAAAACCATCTTACAGGTCATAATTACACTGGTCCAGGTACAAGGTTAGATCTGCGATTAGACCAAAATGATAAACCAAAACCAGGTGAAGAACCCGTTAATAGAGTTCAGCGCTCAAACACGACATACTAGACAGAAATAAAGACATAACATCCAGACACGAAGCAGACAAACAAATGATAATCGAACTAGAAAATATTCCAAATCCAACATTTAGAGAGAAAATACAAAGAGCATTAATCATTAAACTCTTGAAAGCAAAGATGAAAATGGGTATGGGAATAGCAGATGAAATACACAAAGAATTTAGAAAAAACAAACATTTTTTAAAAGTCAAAGTGTTTGATAAAGATGAAATATGGTCAGCAGATTTAATTAATATGCCAGTCGAAAGAGGATATATATATTGCTTAACAGTTATAGATTTATACACAAGATATACTTGGGTTATTCCTCTCAAAAACAAAACAGGTTTATCAGTCGAACACGCATTTGAAACAATAATGAAACAATCTGACAGACGACCTCAAAAGTTATAGGTAGATAAAGGAAGTGAATTTTATAACAAAAATATGAAATCTCTAGGATTTGAAATTTACAACACGCATAACGAAGGTAAAGCTGTAGTAATAGAAAGATTTAACAGGACTTTTACAAATAAATTATTCAAAAAGTTCACGGAATTGAAATCTCAAAAATGGCTTAAAATATTACCAGAGGTTGTAGATGAATACAATAATAAAATTTATTCATCTATAGGTGTTACACCAACACAAGCCTCAAATAATCCAAATATTATAAAGTCAATTAACGCACAACATAACTATGAAAATGAAATAAACAATTTAAATATCAAACCCAAATTTTAAAGTCGGAGATCGCGTTCGTATTTTCAAATATAAAAGCAAATTCGAAAAAGGCTACGTTGGATTTTGGACAAACGAAATATTTATCGTAGATAAAGTAAACAGCACAACACCTCCGACATATGAATTAATCGATCAAGACAAAGAACAAATCATAGGTAGGTTTTATCAAAACGAACTTCAAAAAACTGACTTTTAAAAATGAATATCTTTCTCGATAAATACGGAACCGTTACAACTACAAACTTTCAACTTATGAAATGGGCAAATGAGTTTAATATACCACCGTTTTATTATTGTATGAGAGATAAAATAAATGATCTCAAATATAAGAAAGGTAAATTTTATGCGATAACAAATATACATACTTCAGATCAAAAAGGAGTTCATCACTCTGCTTTATACAAAGATTCTTTAAATAACTTTTATTTCTTCGATTCTTTTGGATTAGAACCCACTGAAGAGATAGTGAAATTAACTAATAAACCAATCAAATGTTCAACATTTCAATTTCAATTACCGGGTCAAAAGTTTTGTGGGCAACTTTCGCTATGGGTTTTATATCAGTTGAGTTTAGGAAAACAATTTGAAAAAATTATAATAAATTTAACTTACAAAAAATGGCGAACAAGTTTGGATTAGGTTCTTTACCTTTAGATACTAAAAAATCCAACACAACAGCATGGATAAATAAAGCAAAACCTTACTTTGTAGATCAAATTGGAGATTCCTTACAAGGTGATATTGATATGAATAATTTTTCCATAACTGATTTAAAGTTACCAGAAAATGACAATGATGCTGTTCACAAGAAATATTTAATGGAGCAATTAAATTTAATTGAAGTAGATAAAGACCATTTAAAAGAAAGGATAAATGATGTGAAAAGATTTTTTAAACGACAAATAAATAATAAAAAATTTATTGATGAAAGTAAACTGAAAAAATTAGATTATATTGATGATACTAAATTACAACAAGAAGTAACAAGTTTAAAAAATTTTATTCAACAACAATTAGTCAATGTAGTAGATAAAACTCAGTTACAAAATTTAAGTTCATTAATATCTAATTTAGATGATAAGATTACAAAGCAAAAAATAGATCTTAAACAACTAATAGCCAATATTAATCCAGGTATAAGTGAAGACAAATTAACCGCATTAGAAAGTAAACTTAGTGATGATAGTGAAATACAAAAACAAATAGTCGCTATTCAACAACAATTAATCAATGTAGTAGATAAAACTCAGTTACAAAATTTAAGTTCATTAATATCTAATTTAGATGATAAGATTAAAAAGCAAAAAAAAACAACTAATAGATAATATTAATCCAGGTATAAGTGAAGACAAATTGCAACGGGAATTAACTAAATTTAAAACTGAATTACAAAAAGAACTAACAAGTACAAAACATTGATGATAGTGAAATCAAAACTTATATTCAACAACAAATACAAAATATTGATGATAGCGAAATCAAAACCTATATTCAACAACAGATACAAAATAGTATTATTCAACAACAGATAACCACTATTAATAACGAAGTTTTAAAACAGGAAAAAAATATAGCCGCATTAGAAAAGAATCTCAAGGAAGAAAATAAATCATATTATTTCAATCTTCCATTTAGAAATTTGAGAGATGAGAATGCTTCTATTAGTTATAATATTGATAAATCAAGAGAGTCTGAATATAAAAAATATGGATTTACAGCAAATATAAGAGTTTTTTTGGATACAAATTTCCATATCGAAACCCAAAGCTTATTTGATGGTGATCGTCTATCATATTTTTATTTTCAAGGAAAAATTATAATTA